AGACGGAGGAGCAACGGTGTCTGATACGACAAAAAGGTTTCTACCCTTATTCGTACATGACCAGAAGAGAAAAATTTGCAGAAAAAGAATTGCCTCCTTTGCAAAATTGGTCCGATGTTTTGAATGGAGGAAAAGTTGCAGTTTCACAAGCGGATCTGGAACATGCAAGGAAAATTTTTAGAGTGTTCAAATGTCAAAACTTGGAGGATTATCACAACTTGTATCTCAAGTGTGATACACTCCTTCTTGCTTGCGTCTTTGAAGAATTTCGACAAATTAGTCACCAAACTTATGGTCTGGACTGCGCGCACCATTTTAGTGCTTCAAACTTAGCTGGAGACGCCTTCAAACGTATCTGCGAAGACTCGAATGTTCAGCTTTTATCAGACCGCAGGCATCTCGAAATGGTCGAGAAAATGATGCGAGGTGGTACTGCATCCGTGTTCCATAGTCGCTTTTTCAAAGCCAACAACAAAGAATGCCCCGACTTCAACCCAGATCAACCTTAGCACCTACGGGTTTATGATCGATGCAAATAACCTCTATGGCGGCGTCATGCAAACGGAGAAATTACCGGTGCGTAACTTTGAGCTAATAGAGCATATAGAAGACGAGGTGATTGTGAACCAAATCCTCAACATGACTGAAGACTCTTTGATTGGATTTATATTGGAAGTTGATCTCGAGTATCCAGAAGAACTGCATGAGGATCATCAAGATTACCCTTTAGCTCCTACTAAAGAAAGTGTACCCCAGGATTGGTTGAGTCCCTACCAAACAAATTTACTCGAGCAGATGAAAAATCAAGACATTGCAAGACGTTCAATTGGAAAGACCAAAAAGTTAAACCAAAAAGTTACTGCAGACGCTGCATGACAAGTCAAATTATACAATTCATTACAAACTATTGCAATTGTTTGTTAGGTTGGGACTTAAAGTTAAAAAAGTGCACCGTGTGCTGAAGTTTGAACAAGAAGCATGGTTAGAACCATACATCACATTGAACACGACTAAACGACAACAAGCTAGAAATAAATTTGAGGAGGATTTGTACAAACTACTGAACAATTGTGCTTATGGGAAAACATGCGAGTCGAAGCGCAAACGGATGCTTGTTCGGATAGTTAGAGATTATCATGCCGCTTTGCGAGAAATTAGTGCATTCGAATTTAAATCCTACAAAATTTTTGGAGAAAACTTGGCAGCGTTCACTTCGAATCCAACAAAAATCTATTGGGATGTCCCAACAATTGTGGGAGCTAGTGTTCTTGAGTTAGCAAAGTTTCACATCTATAAATTTCATTACGATATAATGAAACCAAATTTTGAATGTCAACTATTGTATTCTGATACAGACAGTCTCCTGTACCAAGTCAAAAGTGAAGATTTATACCGAGAAATTTCCGAAAAAAGGAATATTTTGAATGAACTTGACTTGTCAAATTACCCGAAGAACCACCCTCTCTACGACCCGAAAAACAAAATGGTTGTTTTAAAATTCAAGGATGAGTTTCCAGGAGACATTATAACCGAGTTTATATCCCTCGGCAATCTGGGATATAAACAATTTCATTTAAGCGATAGTGTCTTTAGCATACTTTTGTATGTATTTGTATGTAATTTGAGTTTGAATCAAAGTTTTAAGAAGAATTGAGCAAACAGTCTATAGCGCAGTTAAACACTCCAGCTGGTTTCAGAACGAAGATTTGGCAAATCCTTTCCCGCACCAAACATGTAACCACAACGTTCAGTGGGAATACTCAATAATATACCGAAGTTTTACATGAGGACTATTAGGTATAAAATTATACATAGTGACAATTAGGATTATTACATGGTGACCATTGCTGATCATTTAATACATGGTGACCATTATGATTTATACCTAATGGTCATCCATGTATGACAACCCCCCCCCCCCCCGATCCTAACGCACTATATGCATACTACTAATATATACAATTTTCGTATATGGTGCGTAAAATCAACAAAATTGTCTATGAACATTAATGGTAGTTAAAAAGTCAGTTTCAAGCCTCAAAATGTTATTTAATTGATTTGTTTTGTTCACGTCCTTAGGCAAAAATTTTCACGCAATAATACTTTCGTGAGTGTTTTTGTGAGCTAAGGTTACTGGAGTATAGTTGTTTACAACGAACCATAGTTTTTGAAATCTAGGGTTTTTGCATTGAGAAAATTACCTTTAATTACAAAAAACACACATCATTTTTTCCGAAAGACAGCTCTAAAGGATTGATTTTTTTGAAAAATTTGCAAGGATTGATCAACAGGTATTGTTCTTATGTGAAAGAACGCGGTGACATCGAAGAATAGAAGTTGATTAGATACTGAAAAATTGAATTAAATTCAATTAAATATAAAACACTCATTCGCACATCATTGATTTTTATGGTTTTTTTTTCAGATCAGTCTTCAGCACGAGAAATTTTGATTTTCATTTTATTAAACATAACTGAAGAAAAATTGAAAACAGCTATATGAAATCCTTCTTTTGTTTCTAAAATCTCATTTGTTTTTTTTTCGTGCTGATGTCTGACATGAAAGTAAACCATAAAAATCAAAGATCGGCGAATTTGCGATTTATATAAAAGTAACTTCCATTGAATTGAGCCCGCACTGGAATTTCATCGACATTGATAAATTATAAAAAAAATTTTAGAGACGAAACGATAGGACAACATAGTAAATTGAATATTGATGTTAGCTTTATAACTGAAATCCATTTTAAGTGAAATACAACCATTTTTTTTAAATAATCAATTATAAAAATCTTCTTCCAAGTTAATTGATTTTTTTCTCAACGAAAATCCATGAAACTTGATATTTTTTCGACACGATTACAAGAAGTGGCAGAGCTTATGTTGAGTTACTCCATGTTCAACCATTCCCCCTTCAACCATTAAATAACTCCCACCCCCGTTCAACCCTTGAGCCCCCCCCCTACTTGATTGTGAGAGGGATGAGGGGAATTGGGCGAACGGCGATTTCTTACCACGGTGATGGTAAAACACAATTAAACAAAATGTTAAACTGCTTATTGAAAAAAGAGAAAAGTCAAAAACTTGAGTTATTATGTGAAAAATAACAATTTTTGAAATGTAAGACTAGCAACTGCACTAAACGGGAAATGAAACAACTTCAAAAAAGTTTCCAGTTTGATCAATAACTTTTGAAGAAATTTATTAAAATATATAATTATTAAATATAATTTTTCTTGAACTCTTTTATGTCGCTGCGAGTTGCTGATTAGGTTCGAAGATGGTGCCACTGATTGTTACGATGTCATAATCTACTGTACTGGTTATTTGGATGACTTTCCTTTTTTGGAAGACAGTCTGCAGACGGTGAGAAGGCGTAAATTGGCAGTGGAGTTGTACAAACAAGTCGTGCATCCGAAATGCCCGAGGCTAATGTTTATTGGCATGTCAACAATTCTGTATAGCTTCTCAATCTACTGGGTTCAAGGTCACTTATGCGCAAAACTTATAAACGGTAAATTACAAAAGTTATTAACGATTAAAAGTTAGCACAGTGGAAGATAAGTACAGAATTTGAGTGTAGATCTTTTCAACGTCTTGCAAACCAAGTTGACAGATTCTATTTTGGTAAATTTTTCTACTCCGAACCACCAACCAAACCATTTTTATGGAACTCAATAATTTTTTGCTTTGCATACCATAACTCTGTTCTTTGCGCTCTAACTTGAACCTAACTTAGTCCAATAGTTGCTTGGTGTAATTTAAAAACTTGGTAAACCCGCTGTTTTGCGTGTCGCAAAGAATGCTCCAGCCAGTAGTTTCCGTACAAAAAAGAGCCAAAAAATTGCGAAAAAAGAACTATTTATCCAATATTAATTCCTATCCCGCACTGGAGTTTCATGGATAATAATCGATTATTTTGGATTTTCATTTTCAGTTTCTAAAAATTTGAAAGTAACTGATTATATTTGAATATAAATGGATTATAAATTTTTAATTGTCGAATCAAAAAAATCCTTTCATTCAATTATAATCAATTGTGCTTGAATAAATTTCGGGTTATTTTAAACACTGCAGTCCTACACAACAGTCCCATTATACAAAACAGTCCCATACACAACAGTCCCATACAAAAGAGTCCGAAACATCAAAAAATTTCTGAAAAACAGTCTCATTCAAAACATTCCAAAACCATTTAATTTTTTTGACCTTGATCTTTTGGCACTAACAGAACTGATTTACGCTTTTAAAAACCAAACATGAGCCTAAATGAAGATCAAAGAACCAATAGTCAGATCAAAAACAAAGGCCTCAGATTTAGTTATTAAAGCGTTCGACTCACATCTAGAAATCAAAAGATCGAATCCCCGGCAAAACTTCATTGCTCCATGTCAAATCTGGGCTTCTGTTGTCCTTAAGATGTCAGCCTCTCAATATATGTGTCCTCGAAATAGTTCAATATCGGCTGACTTTCTTCAGATGCCATACTTTGAAGAAGCTCAAACGCAGCAGGAACGTCCTCTACGTGCAGAAATGCTGTTCAATTAAACTCAGCTCTCGAATAAGTTAGGCCAATGTTGTAATTGTGAATTTTGCCTGGCGACTGAACATGTCGCCAGACGCTGTGACTCTGATAAAAAAGAAAACTGAAAATAAGCGCTCTGATGGGCAGCTATTATTGAGTTTCGGACAGTTACATCAAAATAAAATGAAACGGTTTTGGGGACTCAATGTTTCGAGTTGAACCTTGAGGAGGCGACAATGAGTTGATTCCTTTTTGTCGGGTAGTAGAGCGTGAGCAAGAGGAATAAGGCATACTTCAACTGAAACGTGTTTTGTTTAAAGTTGATAGATTATATTGCGAGCAGTTGAAAACATTCAATCGCAGAACCAATAATCTGATAGAATTAGGAGGTCTAACCCACGTAACGTGGCGAACATAATAACCAATTTTGCAAAATGAGGACCAGAATCTTGCAAGAAAAGCGAGTTGCTGATTAGGTTCGAAGATGGTGCCACTGATTGTTACGATGTCATAATCTACTGTACTGGTTATTTGGATGACTTTCCTTTTTTGGAAGACAGTCTGCAGACGGTGAGAAGGCGTAAATTGGCAGTGGAGTTGTACAAACAAGTCGTGCATCCGAAATGCCCGAGGCTAATGTTTATTGGCATGTCAACAATTCTGTATAGCTTCTCAATCTACTGGGTTCAAGGTCACTTATGCGCAAAACTTATAAACGGTAAATTACAAAAGTTATTAACGATTAAAAGTTAGCACAGTGAAGATAAGTACAGAATTTGAGTGTAGATCTTTTCAACGTCTTGCAAACCAAGTTGACAGATTCTATTTTGGTAAATTTTTCTACTCCGAACCACCAACCAAACCATTTTTATGGAACTCAATAATTTTTTGCTTTGCATACCATAACTCTGTTCTTTGCGCTCTAACTTGAACCTAACTTAGTCCAATAGTTGCTTGGTGTAATTTAAAAACTTGGTAAACCCGCTGTTTTGCGTGTCGCAAAGAATGCTCCAGCCAGTAGTTTCCGTACAAAAAAGAGCCAAAAAATTGCGAAAAAAGAACTATTTATCCAATATTAATTCCTATCCCGCACTGGAGTTTCATGGATAATAATCGATTATTTTGGATTTTCATTTTCAGTTTCTAAAAATTTGAAAGTAACTGATTATATTTGAATATAAATGGATTATAAATTTTTAATTGTCGAATCAAAAAAATCCTTTCATTCAATTATAATCAATTGTGCTTGAATAAATTTCGGGTTATTTTAAACACTGCAGTCCTACACAACAGTCCCATTATACAAAACAGTCCCATACACAACAGTCCCATACAAAAGAGTCCGAAACATCAAAAAATTTCTGAAAAACAGTCTCATTCAAAACATTCCAAAACCATTTAATTTTTTTGACCTTGATCTTTTGGCACTAACAGAACTGATTTACGCTTTTAAAAACCAAACATGAGCCTAAATGAAGATCAAAGAACCAATAGTCAGATCAAAAACAAAGGCCTCAGATTTAGTTATTAAAGCGTTCGACTCACATCTAGAAATCAAAAGATCGAATCCCCGGCAAAACTTCATTGCTCCATGTCAAATCTGGGCTTCTGTTGTCCTTAAGATGTCAGCCTCTCAATATATGTGTCCTCGAAATAGTTCAATATCGGCTGACTTTCTTCAGATGCCATACTTTGAAGAAGCTCAAACGCAGCAGGAACGTCCTCTACGTGCAGAAATGCTGTTCAATTAAACTCAGCTCTCGAATAAGTTAGGCCAATGTTGTAATTGTGAATTTTGCCTGGCGACTGAACATGTCGCCAGACGCTGTGACTCTGATAAAAAAGAAAACTGAAAATAAGCGCTCTGATGGGCAGCTATTATTGAGTTTCGGACAGTTACATCAAAATAAAATGAAACGGTTTTGGGGACTCAATGTTTCGAGTTGAACCTTGAGGAGGCGACAATGAGTTGATTCCTTTTTGTCGGGTAGTAGAGCGTGAGCAAGAGGAATAAGGCATACTTCAACTGAAACGTGTTTTGTTTAAAGTTGATAGATTATATTGCGAGCAGTTGAAAACATTCAATCGCAGAACCAATAATCTGATAGAATTAGGAGGTCTAACCCACGTAACGTGGCGAACATAATAACCAATTTTGCAAAATGAGGACCAGAATCTTGCAAGAAAACTGCTCCCCATCGTGAGTTTTCTGTGGGACCAGTGGTAGTTCAGAGCCAGTCAGCGAAGTTGTCTCTGCCATCGTTGGTCTTTTTTTTGCGTCGAACTCTAATTACAGATTGCTGATTAGCAGAATAACTTGGACAGCTGTTTCTCGGTTCACATTATGCTGGCCTGCAGAAGTAGTCTGCCATGGCGTTTCATCCAAACCTGCTGCTCCTGTTTTTCTGATCTTACATTTTTCGATGACAGCCGGATGGGGGAAGTGGCAGTGATTTTTACTGATCTCAATGCGTTCATTTTTTGTAAGCACACGTCCATGCAGATACTTTGTGCGCAGCGCCACGAAAAGGAGTTGTCTAACAATATTCGGTGCTTAATATAAGCATACCCTTTAAAGATCAGAAACTCAAAATTTTTGTTTGTAAGTATAATTTCCAGCTATGAGAATTTCGTTTCTTTTGAGTGTTGCCAATTGTTCGTAAATGGAACAATTTGAAGAACTTGTTTCTTTTTGCATAGGTTAAAAAAAAGAACTTTAAATATTGCGTTAACTTTTATGTTTCGCGTATTATAACTTCACATGAGTGGCCGCTGCTGTTATCTAGGTTGTTCTAATTTCTCTGCTGTACTACCCATTGTCAACCGAATTATTTGGAAAAAAATGTTTTGAATCCAAGAGAAATTTTTTAAATAATTTTCTGGAACAATTATCACTACGATCAATGGGACTGTTTTTTGGACTATTTGCGATACTAGTTTGTATGCGACAGTTTCTTGTACTTTACTATAATTTTTTGGACTATCAGGTACACGACTGTTTTGTACTGGACTGTTTAGTACAGACACGACTGCAGTATATTCAAAATGTAACCTGGGACTTTTTACACTTTCTATTGAGATTTGGATGAATTTTTCAGTTTTCCATGTTTTTACTGATCTTTATATAATGTCTTTGATCTAATTTACATTTCTTGCCATCGCTCAAGAATATGACAACCCCCTCCACGTTTACATCACTTTTCGCACCTTATTCTGCCAACTTTACATCCCTCGTTTAAGCCCCCCATTTCTCCCACGTGTACACCCCCTCTTATAGACACCCGTATTTACCCCAACCCCTGTACGTCTCCCGCCAACGTTTACAACCCCTTCATCGCGTTTGAGCACAACGCCCTTCCACATTGGTGGTGGTCTGACGGGTTTGTAAACGCGGAGGGGGGAGGGTTCGGTTGAGTAGTAATTGCAGGGGTGGCGGAGTTGTACACGCAAAATATATAAAAATTTTAAGGTTTAGATTTCGAGCAGGCCGTGAGTATAGCAGAAGTTTCTGACAGTTTTGCAAATAAATTTGCAATTAAAATAAAAATTATGATCCAATATAATCAATTGTAATGGTTTTTAATGAATTTTGTTTTACGAAAATGGTCAATTACAATAATTTCAATTTCATGATCTAAATTTGCAAAAAATACTTGGTTTTAATGACATTTTAGACAACATTTTTCCATTATATTCGATTTTTCTCCATTAAACTCGGGTAGCGAATGTTCTCAAAAAACAGTATGGTATAAGTTGTCAAGGGGGAGGGAGGGAACGGTGGAGATAAAGATTTTGAGCCGTTGAATTTAGCTAAACTGAAATAATGTTATAAGATGTTAGGGCTAATTTTCCGAATGATACTTTTTCTAAAATGTTACATACGTTGAGTCTGACTGAAAAAACACCTATCTGACAATTCAATTGAAATGACACGATCCCAGTTTTGTCGGAAAGACACACCGAAAAACAAAGCCATTTTGTTTCGACTTCCACATTTGACATTTGCATTATGAAAATAACAAAAACACAAAATAAAATACAGTCGGATAAAAAAGTGTTTATTTTTCAGGTGATTTTTCCCTGCCTGGTCCCACAGAAATGGAAGAAGAGATTGAACAATTTGTAGAAGCAGATAGCAAACTGAAGGGTTTGCAAGACGTAATCAACTTTCAAAGTGAGCGAATTATAGCCCTTGGCGAACTGGTTGGCAAGAAAGACTTGGACAGACGGCACATTGTTCAAGCGTGGACGAGAGATAGACAGAACGATATTCTGAACTATCGGGAGAATTGCACTACGGCCGAAGCAGCGGCGAAAAAATTACGAGGTCTATTTTGAAAACAACTCACAAAAAATTAAACATGCTTTTGGGGTTCCGTGCAAGCATCCAAAAAACCAAAAAAATTGTACAAAAAAAAACAAAAAACAGCTTTACTAGGGCAAACATTCGACATTTTCCAAAAAATAGGTCAAAGATCCGATATCTTTCGTTCGCTTAAAAGATGGTGTATTGGCCGAATTAAAAATGACCGCTGCAGTAACGTCAAGAGGGTAGGACTTCTATATGAAATTTGGAGCTAGTTAGCGCTGCCAATCGCCGACGCGCGATTAGCACGTGACCTTAAGCCGAGAGTCGTTTAACTCGAAGTCAGCTGATTGAACGCAGCTGATTTTATTACAAAATTATTATATAGCGAATGTTTGAAATAGCGGATGTTTGACATAGCGGATGTTTGCACAAGACCTCTATTTTTGTTATGAAAATCCAACTAAAAGTCCAAAAATGAACAAAATTTGAAACTTTGCTGATTAGATATGATAGATATTCAATAAAATCAATGAAGTTACAAAATCTTCAACCAGGAACATTCAGATTTTTTTGCAAAACAAAAAAGTGAACCTGATAATTGGCTGATTTATTATTTTTTTTGTCTAAAAACTTCATCAATTTGCAAGCGCCACATTAGTCTAAAAATGTTTTAATAATGATGGATTATGAAAACATTTACACCCGAGAGGTAGCTTATATTGGTGCTTAAAAACGTTACTTTGCAAAATCTGTCTGACAAAAACAGTGTACGATAGATAAATCTCTTTAAATGAGGGAAATAATAAATTAGTTTGAGTAAGCTTTTCTTCTGAACTAAGAATTAGTTAAAACTACAATCAGTAGCGGGCTTAGGGAATCGAAACCCTGGCCACTCAAAGTGTCCAAATTTTGGTACTATTTTGTCACACCCATTTTTATTGACTGATCATGAAACTTTTCTATAAGTGCTTTTGGCGCTAATATCTACTAAGTTTGAGGGGGTAGCTCACACCAAAAAGTGCCAGTATTTGGTCAAAGCTTTCAATTAAATGCTTAGAAAAAAGGATGTCATCGCTAGCAAACTGGCAAGACTGGTTGGGTAGAGAGTATATCAATTCGATATAAGGGTTTTTCTACTGCTTTTAAACGGATGTAAGGTTATTTATTTTTAAGTAAACTTAATCTTACCTAAATGGGGTTTGATATGAGATCGAGGTTTGGAGAATGTTAAATCAATCAACAAGGTTCAGGCATAACTAGAACACAGGTAGATCGTTAGATACTACTTTAGTTCTTACTCGTGCTTAGATTTGTTCTAGGCCTGGGTCAATTAAGATATAGGGTTCAAGTGAAGGATGAGTAACCGAAGTTCTTCACTATTTAGCCTAAATTAAACGGTTAGTTTGTTGAAAAAGTTTATTAATCTATGGTGAGATTTGAGCTTGGAAAGTGAATCGACGTTTGAGGTCTTAGAAACTAATGTAAGAGATGGGAGTAAACTTATAAATTTATTTCAGAGTTCCAAGGAAATCCTTTATAATCTGAAATTGAAAATTAATTTAAATATAAGTTATAAATGAAAAATTATGGTTCAGATTCATCAAAGATAAAGTTTAGAGATCCAAGAGAAATTTTGATGATCTGGATTCAAATAATTGAAAATAAGGTTGAGCTTGAGCAAAGATATACCTTGCTCAATTGTTTGAAATTGGTAATGATCTAAGAAAAATCCTGATGATCTTGAATTGAGTTTAAGTAAATTGTTTTTGAAGTTTGTTGCAAGCAGGAACCAAAATAGGATTATTTTGAAAAACTAATCATTAAATAATCTTAAATTAATTATTTTTTTGTATTTTTATAAAATTACTGCAAGATTTTAGATTTTGAGTTAGTTATATTTTTTTGTCGAGTAGGAGACCTTCATGAAGATCATTGATGATCAAGTAATTCAAAATATTAGCGTTGAAACTTATATCAAGTAATTTAAAACCAATAATTACTTTTTTGTAGTTGACACTTTGGTGCAAAATTTTAGCTCGTGCAAAATCTTAGTTGTATATTTAAATTTTTTTTTGCGCTCTGTGCCAAAAAGCAAAATCTGAAGAAAAAATGGGAAGAAAAACAAACTCAAAATCTGAAAACAAAAAATGATAATTTCTATTACTATTTGTAGTTCTCAGATTTGGGCAATAATTTAGATCGAAACTTTTGATGTATTTTTCTTGTAATAGAACTTAATGAGCAAAATTTGAAATTAAGTGGAAAAAAAATCAAAATTAAAAACCCAAAGGAAAACCTAAATCCAAACCAATAACCAATTGTTTTAAATAATCTTCGCCCATAGTATATACTCTAATCACGGAGGGATCTAGCGGATGGTTTGTCAATTTGTTCTCATGATAAAACTAAAAAAGATAGAGTTTGGGTAAAACTCATGAAAAACTGAGAAAAATGTTCACGATTGTATGAAAATTCTCAATATATGATTCAAAACATTGTGTGTTTTTTTTGGCAAAACCCCCTTTTTTGTTTCAAAACTTTGTTTTTGTGATCATTTTTCTTTCAACTTAGTATAGAACTCAGCCCAAAAATCCATGCGTTGATCAAAAACGTGGATATTCAAATCAAATTCAGCTCGAAATAAACGACTAAAATTTTACATAAAAAGTATTTTGGTAGCAAAAGTATACGAAAGCTTTGTAGCCAAAAAAATAATGTATTGAGCTCAAATTGGTATAGTTTTTCTTATTTGTGATCGCTGCAAAATTATATCTTTGAAGTTATGGCTGTTAAAAAGTTTGCTGTTATGGCTGTTAAAGTTGAGACAATTAAAGAGCGATGTATTTCATCCTATTAACTAGTAAGCGGAGAATTAATCCGTCCTAAAAGTTGTTCCATAATGAAAAGAGGCATGTTATTTGGTTCATTTAATATTTTATCATAAGCGAAGTATATCATTTTGCGAAATAAGTTTATTTCTTTTTTTTCTTATCATATACTCGGAGCTGATTGATGGAGAGGGCGGACTCTCCTCCTTGCGAATTCGACCCCCTCCACAACCAAACCTCCATTTGGTATTTTTTTAAATCAAATTTTCTAAGGGCGCCTTGAAGGCCGACAACTGCTAGTATTGAAACGCAAACTTTTGGTCATAAATTTTCAAAAAATGTTGAAAAACGACAAATGACCTGTTTTTTTTCTGAAACCTGTGTGAAAATAGGGTCTTTATAATGTTCTGGGAGTGCTCGTCAAAACAATTGGATCCACCTAAAAAAGATTGACAAAATTTCCAAACTTTGTTTGAAAATCTGCACATTGAAAAAGTGTATAAAGTAAATTTTTATTATCAAATAGAAATGGAATTAAATGTTTTCACATTTTTACAACATAAACCATTCAAAACTCATTAGAATCAATTGTTTTCGAGTTTTTGAGACACCGACAATAAATCCAAAATTGTCGATTATTTTTCATGAAACTTCAATGTGGGAAGCTTGAATATAGACTTGAGCGAAACGAAATAGTTGGTCTTGAGTTTTAAACATGATTGCAGTCGTGGGTAAAAGTACTTACAGTTCGATATAATGTTACATCTGAGCAAAAATTAGATGCGCGGAAATCATATAGGCGGCATCAGACTTGAGTAACAGCAAGTTTGATATCGCATTAAGTCAGGATGAGAAAACGTTCGGTTAAGTCAACGACGATGTAATCGAACGAGACTGCTCGTATTCAGCCAAAAGCATGAATGTTGCAACTGCCATTTAATTGGTCTCGAATAGCTTTTGCTAAATTAAGTAATGGCAAAAACTATTCGACTTTAGAAGGATAAATAAAATACAATTTGAAAATACAAATGATCAAATTGTATTTTATTTAGCTTAAGTCGGTTATGGAACTAATAAAACTAGCTAGCTGCCTCAATTCAATTTGGAACATGATAATTTGCCACGCTTGTAGATTATAAGTTGAGCACTTTAGACTGACGCCTCGCAAGCCTGTGCAGATCAAAAGATCGACCCCCGAGGAGTCTGATTTTTGTAAAATTGGTCTGAAAAAATGAATCCGAGCATATATATATTCCTCAGTGACTTCGAAAGTCGGAACAACAAAAGATATCATAGCAAAGCCAGCAGATTTGTTGAAAAATTATAAAACTGAATGTAACGAACTAGTTACTTTGTGAAAATGGTTTTCTTTAGGCAATGAAAAACATGTACTCTGTTTTTGGCGTTAAAACGAAAAATGCTTTGTAGCGTGAATAGCATAAACATTACCCACGTGAAACGCATAACCGGATTTCGTCGTACTCCAAGTTTAAAACCAAATTTTGTCAAAGCTATCTATAAAATCTAAAACCAGGTTTTTAAACTTTTTTTTTTTGCTCCACACGGCTTAAAACTGCATAATTTTGATCTCCATGGCGTTCTGAACAATAAATTTTGTATGAAGCCCAAATTTTGTCAGTTCACCGGATTTTTTGGTCCCAATGATCTGAATGCGGAATGGTAACGTTTGTCACGGTGGAAGACTGGGTTTATTAATCCTAATTCCTGAATCAGTGTTTGTTTGGATTTCACATGCTCTGATCAAATTGTTAAACGTAGACTCCGGATAGCTGCATCCTCAAAACCTATTGCAATTTTTGAACATTATTTAAAAGCAAAACCGTATCTCAAGCAGGGATATTCATAAGCTGAGAAAATGATTATTGGTTTTGTTTTCTGAAATGATAATTTATAAAAAAAAAGACAACTCACTGTGATATATGGTACCTTAGACCTGATTGATGATTAAAACTTCATCGAAATTATCTGCAAATGTTTGAGTTTTGTTTTTGATCCGCACTAGAGTTTCGTTTAAAAAAATATTCATTTATAGGTGGTAGGTAGTCTATTCCAAATGGATTAAATGCATGAAATGTACCAACGGCAAAAAACCATAAGCCGCGTCTTGTCGTAATCCATGGTCAGAAGCCGAAACTTTGTCAATCCATACGATCTAAAACCATTGTTTTTTAACCCAGATATTTTTGGTTTGCGCGGTTTTAAACTGAATTTTTGATTTTGATTTCACGTCGTTCTGAACCAACATTTTGTCGATACTGAGAATCTGAACTATATGGCTTGTTAACAACGTTCTGAAGCCGGATGTTTTGGTCCTCCATGGCCGATAACTGAATTTTTTGATTCCCATGGTGTAATCGCGGTTCATTGTCGACCCACACGATCTGAAACCGGTTTTGATTTGGCCTTATAGTCTGAATCTGGATGTATGTCAGTCACCCTTGTTTAAATGATTTTTGCAGTCTCTACCCTATGAACCCCAGTTTTTATTATTTCATTCAGTCTGATGATGGGTCTTTGCTTTGAAAGGAGAAAAATTGCAAAGTCCATTATTCGAGCAAAAAAAAGCAGCAAAAAGTTTAGATAGAGTTGAAAACTTAATGGTTCTTACTAAAATATCTTAGAAAAAGCTGAAAAATTAAATAACATGCTGACAAAACAAACAATCCGTTGGTCATGATGGCGTAAATGACATGAATTATAAAATTTTAAAATTTCTTGGGGCAATAATTTCAGACTTAATTGCAGCCTTTCTAAACAGTATATTTGCAATGCAAAGTTTTTTTTTGATGGCTGAAAAGTGGTAAAATTCATACCTACTTTCAAAGGTGGAAAGAAAGTTTTTTTGACAATTAAACAATTAGTTTGTTATGTTCCTCAAGCAAAATTTTCGATAGAGTAATTTTTAATGGGATGTTCAGTTTTGCCAGAAAAAAAAACATACTATATCCAAAACACTTCGGATTTCAACCAAGAAAGGAATGTGAGGATGCTTTGAGTGAACTCACTGAATACAGTAGAGATGAAACTTTCGGTCTGAAACACAATGGTCCAAAAGATCTTGCTATGTTGATTCAAATAAAGCAATCGAAACCATCAACCATGATTTACCTCTGACAAAATAAGAAAAAATAAGGTTATAGAGGTCGTTTTCTTAACCTTCTTGAAACATAGTTTGAAAATAGGTATCAATCTGTTGAAGCTGATCCAAAAAATCAACCTTGCGTTCTTTGGCACGTGGAGTCCCTCAGAGATCTGTTTCGGTAAATTAAGTATTGGTTAACTTTTGAATTTTGGACTGATCAAATTATGTTTTGTGTGGCAATTTAGGTCGATTATGGAAATTAATAAAAATAGCTAGCTGCCTCAATTCGATTTCGAACAAAATTAAAGTGCATGATATTTTGCCACGCTTGTAATTTACAAAATGAGCACTTTAGACTTACGCCTGGCTGAGAGATCTGTTTTAGGACCATATTTCTTTTTGTTATAAATCAATGATCCTCCAAAAATAAATAATAGATCTAAGATAGTGCTATTTTTTGATGATAGTATGATGTAAGAAGCAGAGAAAAATCTCAGTGATAGTTTCAGATATTCTTTAGAAAAAGTTTTAAAAAGGTTTCAAATAAATGCTTTTAGTGTAAATCCGGGTAAAACTCTAATTATTATTATCAGTACTAACTTTTTCAATGATCACTTCGCTTTTGGTACTTCAGTTCGAATTACAAACATTTGCAAGTAATTAGATAACAAACGTATTTCTATCTACAATAATACGTACTAATCTCCTATTTACAGTAATACGCACTACTTGAATTGAGATCGAAAAAAGAGAACAGTTTTTTGTCCCAAAATTATACCAAACACATTATACCGAACATCTTGAACTGAATAATTATACTAAACAACGTACCAGAAGCAAGTCAAAAGGCATCCTGGCAATAACGAAGTTATCGACAACTGCTAAACAAGTATTGCTTTCTGTGAGAGTACAAAAGGCTTTTAACTACTAAAAAAATGATTTGATATCTGGAAACATCCATAAAATGGCCTTTATCAGCTTTATGAGCTTTGAAAGCAGTTTTTTGTTATCTACTTGTAAGAAAATTTTGATCTCGAACTGTTGCTTAGCTTCAGCGCTCTTCGGAAAGATAATTTAAAAGAAAACCCCATTAAAAATACAAATCAGAATAATAAAAATCATAACCATTAAAAATTGTGACCATCTTCTTTTCCTCACTAGGATATCCTACTTGATGAGTAGTAATACTCTTTAGGATTTTGATGCAGGCGTATGGTTTAGTTTTTGTTTTATGTTTTTAGCTGGTAAGATTAGTCAAACTCAAATTCAAATGGATTATGCCATATTTATTTTTTTGATTCCATTAAAAAAGTTTTATTACAGGTTTGATGAATTATAAGAAAAAATAATTGTTTTTGTTTCAAAAACTGCTCTGAAATTTTTGAATTTTTTCATTCAATTTAAACTTGACCGTTGTTTTTGTATACCAAAACAAAACTGTATACCTAAAGAAAAAAAACAATTGAAACGGATTTTTGCGAAAATTTTATTATAATGGGCATAGCGGGCTACTGTGAAAGTAGCACAGAAAGTTCCGATCATAGTCTTCAGAAAACTACGGTTTAGAAAGTTTTTTTTTCCAAATGAGTGCAATTTTTTTGTGCTGTTAGTGTGATGAAAGGATCTGACGTACAAAATAGAATTTAGTCCGAAAAGACAGTCATTGTAATTTAAGCAATGTGAACAAAAACACAGGAAAAAAAATTTAAAAAATTTGAAAAAAAAAATTATTTTCAATTTTTTTTGCCGAAAATTTTTTAAATGCAGTAACTTTTTGAAGTTATTGGTTCCCAAAATGAAGCTGAAAATCTACAAACAATAATTTTACTTGCTTAAAAAAAGTTTTTTAAGGTCTTAAATTATTCATCATTCAGCTGTAGTAAGCCTGCCTGCTTGCTTTATTTGCTCGAACTAAGACAAAACTCAAAAATTTCGAACCGATTTTTCTTGATACAAGAAAAAAATTTAGGAAATTTTTTAATGTGGTCCGAATAACGACTGAAAGGGTTTTAATATGATTTATCACTCAACCCAGTTTTGTAATTATTTGTGGCACCTGATTTTGCGTGGAATACAAAAAACTAAAACACACCTGAATTCAAAGTTCCTCCCAATCTTCAATGGTCGGAACAATAAAAGAAAAGTCGGTTAAAAACTATTTTTTATGAATATTATAAAGCATTTACAATGCAATAAAATTGGTTTGAAAATTTAATTTGGCATCAAATCTATAATTGGCATCAAATCTTTAACCTTTTGTTCAACCCTTTTGTCATATAAATCCATTATATTCCAATTTTTCTTATGAAATCTCAGTGCGATGACGATGATTTTGAGTGCGATGACGAAGTTGAGATACACGCCGGGTTGAGGTTGAAGACTTGTGTTGCGGCCATTTTGACCCAAATCGGGTTTGTTGCGATCATTTCGACCCAAATCGGGTATGTTGCAACCATTTCGACCCGAATCGGGTATGTTGCAACCATTTCGACCCAAATCGGGTATGTTGCTACCATTTCGACCCAATTCTATTATATTCCAACTCGAATTATTGGTCACTTAATTTGAGAGAAGCGGCCACAATTCCAATATTCACAGACATGGCTCTTCTAATACTAAGTAGTCTTTGTAGAAGTAATTCCAGTATAGTTTTGTTGGGTATGCTTTGTAAATTGGTTCGAGGTCTATATTTCTTTTTTTTCCGTATTTTATTCAATAATTGACTGTTTTTTTTTCCAAAAATGTTCGTCAGACTTTCTTATTCGAGTTTTTGCTATCGATGTTATATCTTTTTGTCTTGTTAATAAAAGATCGTCATTGGTTTTCGTAATCGATTTTATCGGTAGTTTGATGTTGGAGCTGCCTTTCAACATTGATACTAGCATTAATAGAGTAAAGTTTATACAATCAGTAAACAGAAGAAAGTCATCTTTGTCATTGTAACGTCAATTGCCTCTTTATTTTGTACCATTAAATTATACAAATACTCTTCGGCTCTTTTACTATTCACCGTCCAGGTGAATATTTAAACCCTATTTTGAGGTCAATTTTGTGAAAAATTTGATAATCCCCCTAAATATGCCAAATTTCGAAAACGTCGGACTATATCAAAATTTGTTTTTTATAGTGCAAACTAAACAAGACGGAATGTAAAAGAGCCACTTTTGTCTTCTCAATAAATAGATGGCTGTCAACCAAGATTTTGCTTGCAAGACTCCCAAGCAACCAACCACGCAAGTTCAGGTAAAAACAACATTTAAAGCTTCACGTGTCACAGTTTTCCCAATTTATTTACCGTTTGCGTGCTAACACCGTTTCTAAGCCATTTCTCACTGAAACGCAAACAGTGTTTAAAATATTATCCAATTTTGATTCTGCTGACACATTTTAAGCGGATCAGTTTCCTGTTTCAAAAAGCTCCTAGAAAAAAAAACAAAAATAGAAGAATGAATGAAACGTGTGCGTCTAGTCAGAACGCTGCCTATCCCAAACAAGCGATGCCCCCTCCCAACCAGCAGGGGTACCAGTGGCCGGCTGGAGGAGGGGAAGCACACGTACCCCCCTCTTATCCATCGGGGTATTCGTCGCCATTTACTCACCAACAACAATATGTGAGTTTGACTTACGGTAAAATTGAAAAAAAAAACGAGAAAAAAATATTTTTTTTTAATCATTGTCAACGAAAACAGCCACTTTTTCGGACACATCCTTCTCACAATGATTGACATGATTTATTCAATATTTGTTATGCTTCAATTGAATAGTTTAAGCGTTCTTTTAAGTATTCGCGTTTGCTTGACTCCGACCCTCTGCCGAGGTCCCGACTTATGAGCATCGTGTCAAAATCGTAGTTGAGTGCCATTCATGCTAGTACTTTATATAACTGCATGTATAAACCCCTGCTTAAGAAGTGCTTGCAGTTTTTTTGGCTATTTTTCTGGGTTGGATATTGTTGCCTCACCCTGAAGCAACGAGCACGAATCATGGTGGACCTCGAACATCCGACTTTTCGATTGAGAGGCGGAGACGAAATCACTTCACCACCGCTCCCAATGCTTTTTTTGGAGACATTTTGAGAAATTTTGAGCTCTGTCGAAAGCCAAGAACCAGAGTGGGGTACTAATATTCCTCGCCACCGTTTGTTTTATTGCGTTTCAGGGCGGTGGCTACACGGCTGCTCCTCCCATGAATGCCGGCTACCCTATGCCTGCTACTGTTGTGATGAGTCCCAGACTGAGTTTCTGTAGATACCCTCAAACAGCAGACTGTCAATCATGTAGAGCAAGGGTAAGTTAGACGACAGAAAATTAAGACACAGAGCTTGTAATTCAAATTAGCATGAAACATAAAAGTCGGAAAAATGAACAAGAATAGCCGGTTGCTGAACAAGTAGTACAGAATCATTCGATCTTTTCGATTTAAGAAAATATCATAAGATTTAAAAAAAATTTGTTTAATTTTGAATAACTTCATACTACCGACATTTTTCTTGCATTTTCAATTCTTTGCTTATAAATTTCGTAATTTTCTTTCTAGAAAATGCGATTGAATCGAGTGAAAAAAAAAGCTAGAGCGATAGCTAAAATTTGAAAATTTCAGATTATAGCAAAAAAAATCTTGTAAAATTAAACTTGTGAGGTGAAATATTCAGCAAATTTTGTCTAATTTAGTTAGGTAAAAGTTTCAGCGCACAAATCTACCGGAAAATTATTTAATCAACATAAGGCAAGAATCGCGTCGTATGCGCGCATTATCCAATGCAGAAATAAAGAGCTTTAGGAAACAGCCAGTTTTACGAGAAAAGATAGTCCACGGAGAGTCATTTTATGAAAAAAAAAATAGCGTAAAATTTTTCTGACAAAATCTAGAAATTATATTTTCATGGAAAATTAATTTTAGAAAATTCAAACAAAACTGAAGTTTTTTCTTCAAGAGACCTTTATACAGAAGAAATTTCGTTTTTTTTTTTGTAAAATGCTATTTTGTAGAATTAGGACTATGTTGAAATTTGGATTTTGATGTTTCACTCTCTATGTTCAACCAAAATGAAAATTTTTGTGATTTGTCTTCTCTTCTAAAGCCGACTCTTTTTACCATCTGTTTTTGCTACAATGGATACAGCATTAAATAGGATTTAGATCGTTATTAAAAAGTTTGAAATATTAAATAGTCGACTAGCTCAACTACTCGGTTGAAAATGGTTGAAACATTGAAATACACTTAGTCGTAATGTTTTTTTTTCAAGTTCGAACCTGATCGGAAAACTTTTCTCCGGCTCAACTTTTTTCGGCCAAAATATTTTTATCTTGGTCGAATTTTCCTTCGCTCAAAATTACTCATTGATCAATCGGTTGATCTGTTTCCCCGATCGACAAGTTTTTCCTCGAAGCAACTTCTTTTAGCTTCAAACTACTACTTGTTCGAACTCAGTTGAACTGTTTTTCCTCGGTCAAACACATTCGAAATGTTTTTCATCGGTCGAACACGTCGAAAAGTTTTTCATCGGTCTAACACGTTCGGAATGTTTTTCATCGGTCAAACACATTCGAAATGTTTTTCATCGGTCGAACACGTCGAAAAGTTTTTCATCGGTCTAACACGTTCGGAATGTTTTTTTTTTCATTTGGGTCGAGTCGGTCGAAAAAACGCAGAAAACCTGACCCGGGTATATTTATAGGTGACCACAGCCGTGGACTATGAGACCAGTGGGCTGACTTGGCTCATCTGTCTGGGTATCTTTTTCATTGGGTTCGGCTGCGGCTGCTGTTTAATTCCCTTCTTCGTGAACGAGTTCAAAAAGGCAGTGCACAGATGCCCAAACTGCAATTTCGTCATGGGACAGAAAGACGTCTTCTGAGTTGCTTCATCAGAATACATCTAAATTGAACATCATTACTGAATACTTTCCCAATTAAAACAATAATTAACCTGAAAAAATAAAATTTTCTTATTCTTATAGTGTTTTTTGATAAACAAGGTCTTTATATTGTTCAAGAGAAGACAGATAAGCGTATAATTGACCACCAAAAAAGTTCTATAATAAAAAAAATCCCCATCAAACATGTAAACCAAAGTTCACTTCATTTCACTGTCCGATTGAAAATAAAAAATTTTCTATATTTTCATCTATCGAATGATAAATCACAGAAATTCGGTCAATTTATCGACCTTTTTTTAGATCGACCAAATTGGTTTTCCGAGCTCTCCCAGAACATCCAAAATCCAAATGACCCTATTTTGACCAAAAATTTAGCGCTTCAAGCAAATTTAAAAAAAAAACAGGTCAAAAACCCTTTTTTGGGAACTTTTTGGAAAATTTTGACAAAAAAATGAGCTTTTTCGGCGCGCTCTTGGTTTCAATGTTAGCAAATATTGGAACCAAAGGCGCCTTTAGAAAAAATTTAGGACTGGTCGGCCTAAATTGGATGTCATAAAATAAAAACCCATAATTTCTTGAAAAAAGCTGTCAAAAGGATTTTTTTTGTTATTAAAACTTTCGTTTGTTTAGTATTTACGTTTAAAAAAAACATTTTTTGGACATTTTACTATGCGCTGGCAATTTGATGCAATGGTAGCTAAAATATGATCCTGTAGCATGTTATCAGTTTGGCAGCTGTCTGGGGGTTGTCGCGGTGAATTGATGCGCATCCGAAACCTGCTGCATTGACCTGTTCCAAAAGCTTGCCTTGGAATCGATGCTACTCTCGTTAAAACCAGTTTATTCAAATTTTTCTCTTCCAGGATTTGCATATTTCAAAAATTGACTGCGGGCTACTCTAAGCAAATTCCCAAACAAAAAGTTTGCAATTCTCATCTACGAGTTTTGAAGTCATTTATTGATTGTGTCGTGATGAAACACGCAAAAATAATGAAAACAATATCCACTCTGTGAACAATATGCAAACGCTTTGTCATATTCTTTCAAAAATATAGAAAAAAGAACATAAGCTTCAAGCTAGGAAAAATCAAGTTCATACGTTATCCCAATAAGTTAACCTTATCTCATAGGTTAAAAAACACGCTATAGTACTTATAAAGCATGAAAATCAGGATTAAGTATTGAAACTTATCAAGCATGATAAAACATTGAAACTCTGACATTTGCCATGTGAAACTTTTTGGAAGGGCTTTACCGGGCCAAAGGTCGAAAAATCTTGTTTTGAAGGCGTAAACTAACCAGTATAATATAACTAGTTTTAGAGGGGTTCTAGCTGTGGAAACATCTTCGCAAACCACATGAGAAAATGACTTTATGAACAGAAGTTAGTTCCCTGGGAAGCCAATGAAATTGACTCTCTTAAGTCGCCGAAAATTACAGCAGCTGTTTCGATTCCACCGATAGCAGAATTGAAACAGCTACTTGGTCTGGAGTCAAGAAACCGTCAGAACTGTTTTAACGACCCAAGTAAATTTTGCAGGAGTTTTTACCAGAAAGTTAAACAAAAACTTCAATAAAAACCCTTGAAAATAAAATTTCAAGCTAATAGAAATCCTGTGCCTAGATTGAAACAAAAATTTTTCCGAAATAATTGCTGTGCTGATTTTTGCAGTCATTACCGATTATCAGCGCCAAACTATTCGTGCAATATTAGCCGTTTTCTTACGCCAAACTAAATAGCTCGTTCAATTTTGTTATCTGTCAATTTTCGGCGGCATAATACCTAAGTCAATATCATTCGCTTACCACAAAACTAAATTGAGCCTATAAAATCAAATACCATATGTTGTTTGCAATAATTTTTCCACAGCGCGAACGCCTCTAAAATTATTAGCTATGTTAATTTCTGAAATTTTTGCCCGGCTATGTCCTTCCAAATATTTGCATCGAGCATATGCCAAAGTTTCAATCTAATATCTTGAACTTTTGCAGAGAAAACGGCAAAAAAGTGAAGAAAAGTTTGTTCATTTGCTTTTTGAAATCCATAAGTTACAACTTCTATGTTCTGCGACTGTAGAAGCGTTCAATTTTGGTCTGGTTCTCTTTTCTATCAGATTTTTTGAGATTCTTAACATCATGTTTTTCACAACTCAGTAAACTAAAGGGTCTAAGAACTGTTCAAAGTAAATTACCTCTAAGTCTTCATACTAAAATAAAATCGGAATTTTTTAATTTTTATTTCCTACTAATCCAATTTTGAGTTAGTTGAGAGCTATAGGGGTATAAGAACTGCTCAAAGTACATTACTTCAAAGTCCTAATACTAAAATAATATCAGAGTTTTTCTACAGGGTGTTTCAAATAAACTGTAATTTTATAAAACGCTATAACTTTTTTTTGAGAAGAGATAAATACACAATTTTTTCTGCACAAGATAGATAAGTGGCGGAGATTTGAATATCTGATAAAATTGTTTTATAAAAGATGCTGAAAGTGTCCGCCGTTTTGAGCAACACAGCTTTGTAATCTTTTCGTCAAATTTCTCAATGACTCTTCGATATTATCGGGCGTTATTGTATTTCGGGCATCTTCTACAGTTTGCATGAGTTCGTCAATACTTCGTGGATTCGCACTATGAACAATTTTCACCAGATGACCCCACAGCCAAAAATCCAGGGGATTCAGGTCCGGACTCTGAGGTGGCCAGGGTATAGGGGTTCGTCTACTTATAATTCTGTCGTTGAACTTTGTCCCAAGCCAACTGAGTACGCGTCCCGTGCAGTGACATGTGGCTCCGTCTTGCATAAACCATATGCGCCTCAAGTTTCGTCGTTCTCGAATGACTGGCCAGAGGTCGTGTTCCAGCATGTTCAGATACGAAAACTGGTTCAGTGTTATTGGTCGTTGCTGTTCGTCTACGAACCAAAACGGGCCAAGAACAGCTCCTTGAAGGAAACCCATCCAGCACATCACTTTCTTTTTGCCCTGGTACTTGCACTCCGCGTATTCTCTGGGGTTAACTAAACTCCATCTCCTATCGTTTTGAGAATTTGGAGAGTTGTCGAGCACCCACCACTTTTCGTCTGAGAAAATCACCCGTGATGTGAAATCTGCCGCTGTTTCAATCTTGCTCAAGCACCAGACACCAAAAGTAAGTCTCAAGCCGAAGTTCGTCTCTTTAATTTGGTGTGTTTTGAGCACTTTGTAGGGCTTCATTTTGGCAGCTCTCGCGACTCTCCAAGTTGTGGTGCGGCTCAACCCCAAATCAGCTGCTGCTTTAGTTATTGAATCTTTAGGATGAAAATCAAAGTGTCTTATAATACTGGCATTCGCTTCATCGGTTCCTGGTAACCCCGTTCTTTTTCGATGCTGCCCTTGAAATTTCGATAACCCGCCTCTTTCTTGGAACCGTTTCCACACTCTGATAAACTGCGTAAGTTGAAGTGTTGATGCAACGCGTGGGGCAATGTAATATTCATTGATATATTTTCTCCGAACCTCAGTTGGGGATTCATAAATTGCAAACAAACAAATGATCCGTTTTTCTTCGTTTACTGTGAAAACCATTTTCATTTACGTATGAACAAATAGTTAAAAAAAAATTTTGTTGCGTGGAAGCGTGAAATAGTTGGAAAATCGCGGGTATTCACTATCGAGTTCAATTCATCAACGCAGTTTTTGAGTTTTATCAAATCTCCGCCTGTTCTACATAATATCACCGAATTTGAAGTCGAAATGATCAACAGTTATGAAATGAGAAGCTTTTATAACATTACAGTTTATTTGAAACACCCTGTATTTTATTTTCTACACATCAAATTTACAAATTATGTCTTCTGGTCAAATCAGAGTTTTTTTTTGACAAATTACGTGTTCTGATTACCAAAAATGGATGAATGGGCCAAACAAACAAATTACCAGATATGTTTTTGATATTATCAAAGGTCAAATAACCAAATTAAGATCATCGGAGCTGTGTTTTTCATAAACTTTATCGCAGTTTACGAAAGTTTGGGTTATTGAAGTGATTTGTTCTGCAAAAAGCAGAAAAATTCGCTGAACTCTGATTATTTACTTCATTGATTTAGATTGTTATTTGTTCGTGCATGTTATTGCAGTTCATTGAATTTTATGCTGAACAAGCTACTATAGTGTTGATTGAAAACAACCGGATAAAATTCACTAAAACAGAATTTTCTAATTTTTTTTCAAACTGGTTTATAGGAAAAAAAACTTGGAATTTTATCAGCTTTCTTATAGTGCAAATTTATAGAAAAATTTAAATAAGTTACACCCTTAAAACTAAATTTGATTAAAAATAAGAAGGTAAACAGGGTCAGTTTTAGTTATTCTTATATCAATTGACTCTGTTTACCTCCTTATTTTTAAACCAAATTAAATGACCCATTTTAACGGCGCAATTAATTTTGATTTGAATTTTGCATGAAAATGCATCTTAAAAAAGCTGGTTAAAAGCCAAGCCTTTTTTGCGTTTATCACTTTTTGGCCAAAACTAACCCAATTTGAGAAAAAAGATTAACAAAGTTTTGTTTTAGTCCATTTTATCCGTTTGTTTTTATTCAGCACTATGATCAGCGTGTTCATGCGTGAGCAAAAAAAACTTAATCAATGAATTACATCGTCAAAACTCGGCAAAAAAAATAACCAACCCAAATGTTCGTGAAATGGGAGGTGATTTATAAAAAACACGTTCTGAAAACACACCGTAGATTTGATGATCGAAATTTTGAAATAAAACGACTGTTGTTGACAATAATTGCATAAATCACACAAGTATACTCGAAGCCAGATTCAAAGTTTGAAACGTTATTTCAATCGGTTTCATTTTTGATAAGTTTATGAAATTTGATTTTCTAGTTTAAAAAATCTTTGGATAAATTGCCGACTAATTTGTGTGAACGTCATATAAGTCCACTAAAACTGCCCGACAAGTAAACTAGAATTTTAAAACTAGAAAACAAAATTTCATAAATTTACCAAGAATGATTCCGCTCGAAATATCGTTTTGAACTTTGAATCTGGACTCTAGTATCTTTTTGTGATATATGCAACTTTTGTCAACAACAGTCATTTTATTTGAAATGATTTCAAGTTCGATTTCAATTTTCTAGAACTTCATAAAGTTCTATGATTAAAATTCTAACGTTTTTAAAGTTATTGAGAAAGAAATGTTAAAGTTTCATAAAAAACATGTCTCGAAAACTAAAACGTAGAAAAACCTATTTTAAAGAAATGCTTGGGCATTTTATTTAGGTTGATTATCTCTGGAATCAATTAGATTTCTCTTTTTGAACCAAAAATTTACGCGGCATACGCAATGATCAAAAAATAAAGTATGATGCGCAGTTTTGTAGAAGTTTTCAAGCAAATTTCAGACCCTTCCAATGTGAAATGGAGTCAGATATCAGAGAGGGCTCTAATTCAAACCGATATTCGCTTTGCGTTGAGGCGTATCAATAAGCTTTGTATATCAAAATTACCCATTAGGGATCTTCTAGATAATAGTGTTGCCAAATGTTTGAGTAAAATGAGTGCACACTTCCGCTTCAAATCTAAAAATAATTTTATTGACAAATGTTTTTTTTTTCATCGAAAACATTTGTTTGGAGAAGGAACAAGTCCTAATTGTTTTTAAAGTTCATAACGTGTCTGAAACTATTTACGATTGCTTGCGACTCATTTGTGACACCTCCTAAAATAATTCAAACTATCAAAGAAGTTCTAATTTAGTTAACAAATCTACTACTCGGACCAAGTATTGACATCAATTGAGTGTTCGAGCCGTTTTTCAACAGCTAGAGTTTACACGTCGGGCAGTTTTATTGGAAATAAATGAAGTACAGATAAATTAGTCCGGCAACTTATCCAAACGATTGAGTATGAGCATTTTCAGTAATGTTTGATCGGCTTAATAAAAAACGATATGCGGTTTTCAATTACAAAACAGAGCAAATTTCAGCCTTGACAACTATTTTTGGATATGTTACTTGGACAAACATCCTAAGTTTATATTTGCCAAATTTCAAACTGATGGTTTCTTAGTTAATTCAAGTTCGCAATGCTTCAAGATTTTTTTTAAAAAATCTGCAATGCCTGGATTTTCATTTACCACATAAGTTCAAACTTTCAGTGAGCCATGTTTTTATGACTTTACGCTAAAATTAAATTACATGTTGATTAACTGGCAAAAAAAGAGCTTTTCTTGAGGTCATTTGAAATTAAAAACAAATTTTAGTGGAATGATATGCGATATAATAATTGTGAAAATATTCTTTTTTCTAGCTATCATAATAGAAAATATTGCCTGAATTGGTGGCACATTACCAATTATTATGACAACTTTTTTGGCAAACTTTTCTTATTATAATTTTTTTTATCCGAGAAATTTTAGTCTTCAGGCTAAATAAAAAAACCAACCCGAGTATATATATTTATCACTATCTTCAAAACTCGGAACAAAAAGACGAAAATATGTTTCCCCAAGCATGAGATGAACAATGGAAATGCATAAGTAGCGCATGAAAATCAAAAATTTGACAGGTCTTCTTACAGTTTTAAAAAACTTTTTAACACAGTTGATGAAGAAATTTAGTTCGAAAAAAATATATTTGTGAAATTATTCGGAATTTTTGTACCGCTAGTAAATTTAAGCGTAATTGTGTATTGCAGAAACATCAAAAATTAAAACTCAAATGTTTGCTCAAATTGTATAAACTCTAATTTATCAAAGGGTTTCTCAGATTTAATTTCAGATCTGAGCTGTTGTTTTTGAAGGTTAGTTCAGATCTGAAATTTGTAAATTCTTATCAAGATCTGAAATAATCATTTTCAGATCTGAGAATCAACTTATGTGAGAAATAAAGAATTCCAGATCTTGCACAGAAAATTCCGTGGGTACTGGAAGCAAATGGGTCGAGCGCAGCTTGAACAAAAGTCAAGAACAGTAAAAAAAAAAGTTGTTCGAACAACTGTTGGATTGCATTTCTTTGAAATTTCCTGATAAATTTTTCACAAATTTGCAAATGAATCAAATCAAATTAACGAAAACGTTACTAAACTTCAACTTTCATATACTTTAAGAACAGAATGAAAATTATTGTTCTTTATTTTGTATGTGCTGAAATATTACAATAGTTGCCAAAGTACAAGCACTATAGTTGCCAGAGTACAAGCCGATTAAAATTAAGTTTTCGTTCTGAGGCTGCTAAAGTGAACTCATATCCAAATTCAATCGAGACTGTCAAATTCAGTCGAGCACACTTGGGTCCCGCGAATAAGTTTTTTCTCCTTGAGTTTGCTTTAAAGTTGCTGGTACACGAAAAATTACACAAATTTGAAGCAACCAAAAAATCTAAGTTTTCAGAACCAAAACCAGTATTTGATCGTCTTACGAACAATGTACTTATTAAAAGCCTGATTGAACCCAGAGTATTTCATTTTCATCTGTGAGGGTCTGATAGTAAGCTTTGTGAGTCTTTTGGAATAACCAGTGAATAATATACGCAAACGTATCTCAGCAGAAATTTTGGTTTATCGCGCTTATCAAATAAGAACACCGAATTGAAACAAAACAGATTTTGAATGAAACTTTGAAAGTTTAAATCAGTTCAATATCACACTTTTCTTCTTAATTTCAACCGGTTTCAAAAATCTTCTTATGATGCCGACTGCAAATCAACTCAACGTTAATACAGGATCAGCGGAAGAGGCTAACAAAGTTCGTATTTGTGTTATTGGGGCAGGTCCTGCTGGTCTGATGACCTTGAGAGCTCTGCAGAGCCTAGACGTGAACAAGTTCGACGTCACCTGCTATGAGAGATATGCAGAAGTTGGAGGAATGTGGAATTTTCGGTATTATGGGAACTTTTTAATCTTTTTTATAGTCACTGTTTTGTTTTCAATTGCTTTAACCGAGTAAACATCCCAAGTGGAGGTCCATTTTGAGAGGTGTACTTTCCAAAAAGTACATAAACTTTTGTAGAACTATATGTACTCCTTATGAGCAGATTAAAAGATAAGTATTTCACGAATTGTTTCACCATTTTAACCAGCTATTTGCAAAATACAATTTCATTACGAAAAACACTCAACATTTTCTTGCATTGCAAGGTTCTCTTATCCTAAAATGGTTATAATTTGTTCGTGTTCGATGGAGCAAACAAATGTATCGTCTGTGCTTAAAACAAAAAAGAAGTAACTCAAAATTATCAGATGATCAGTGGTGAAGACACACTTAATGATTTCAGACCTGTAGAAGGATTGGAAGAAGATGGTATGGAGCGACATTCCACAGCTTACTACGGTCTGGTAGCCAACAGTTCCAAGTACTTCGAGGAGTGTCCCGAATTTCCCTTTCATAAGTACGATGCCAGTAAAGACACCGGGTTCGAATGTTTTCCCAGCTGGGACGACAACGTCCGATATATGAATGAATTTACAGACCATTTTGGTATTAGAAAGAACATCCGTTTCAAATCATGGATTGAATCCGTCAAGTTCAATTCACAAGCTGAAAAATTTGATGTAAAAGTGAAAAATTTAGCAGAGGAAAACGGGCGGGATGTTCTAGAAGTTTTTGATTACGTAATCGTCGGCACTGGACATTATCATGAACCAAACTACATTACCTACCCGGGACAGGAAACGTTTCCAGGGAAAATTTTACATGCTAAATACTTCCACGATGCTGAGAGATACAATGGTAAAATATTCAACTATATCACACTCCTGAAATTTTGAGGGACCAGAAAAAAACATTAGAACGGAAAGCGTTATGAAGAACTTGTCTAAATTTTTGTGAAGCTTTGCTTTTCCCTCATTTTTTTTTCTGAAAATTTTGGTGCTTTTTGAATTGTTACTTTACTGCAAACCGTTAAACTAAAAAAGGCAGCTTTAAATGTTCAACTTTGATTTTCATCCTCGGCCTTTGACTTGATTTAATTCCAGGAAAAAGAGTTCTTCTGGTTGGCTCTAACTTCTCAGCTGAAGACTTTGCTTGTCTGTTGGTTAAGGCACAAGCTGCCAAGGTCACAGTGAGTGCACGTACACAGCCAATTATGATAGGACTCCCTAAAGAGGTGGATCTGAAAAGGCCTGTCAAGAACATCGAAGGAACGACCATCAAGTGAGGTCAAAGCTATCATAACTCTGTTGAAAAAAACTTCTGAAATTAGTTTGTGCAGTTTGCAGAGTCTTAACACGTTCATGCACGGCACTGATTTTGTAGAACAACTGATTTGTATAAAAAATAGACGCCAAAAAACTTTCAAAAATGAGCTAAAAACACAAGTTGGGTCGAGATCGTGGTTTTATCGTCAGATCACCGGGACCAAAATTTGGTAACTTCAAGCCTTTGGGACCGTAATTTTTTTTTTGAGATCTTGGCCACCAAATGAATCCGGTTTGACCCCTGGGAACTCAATTTTTTGGATGATGTGGATCGGAAAAGCTCATCCAGACCTTTTTTGGACTGAATTTGTTCTGACTTTATTTGAGTTTTTTATGAATACCAGTTCATTTAATCAGGACCAGGAGCGGATCTAGGATTTTCTTGAGGGGGGCGGATTTTCAAAATAAATTAGAAAATTTTGTCTAACATTGTTTTTTGTGGTCGACCAAATTGATTTTCCGAGCTCTCGCCAAGCAATACTATGACCCTGCTTTGGCCGAATTTTTCAGCGCCGCAGGCAAAATTTTGAAAAAAAACAGGCCCAAAAGGCGTTTTTAGGAATTTTTTGCAAAATTTTGACAAAAACTCGATCGCCCCTCAAATTTAGATTATATTGGCGGCCGAAGGTGCCTTTAAAAAATTTGTAGGGTCCGTAACACTGATATCTCAAAACAGTACAAAGAGGGGTGCCTTAGTGTCGGCAGGGGGTTGAATCCCTGAGGGGGGGGGGGCGTCAACCCCCCGCCCTCCGTAAATCTGCCCCTGATCAGGACCATATCAAAGATCGATAGCTAATTTAAGATGGGGGTGTGGCGAGGACGCCCCCTTTCAGGGATTCGACGCCCGGACGACCCAAAGGGTCTTCTTCAAGGAACTTTTCTAAGACATCCATTTTTGACCGACATACCCTAAAGATTTGAAAGGCTCATATGGCGCTAATATATACTAAGTTTGGTTTGCCGGAATAAAAGCAATTTGTTGGTCAAAGCTTTCCTAAATGTGACCAAAAACGCCACTTTTGGCCTTTTCTTGTCAAAAGTGGCTAGAATATGGTCTACATAGTGATTATGGAGAGCTTGTAAATCAGTTTTGTTTTCAAGATTTTGTTTCCCGGTGCTCACTTTATGTCAGTGCTCGACCGTAAAAGAATAGTCGAGACAGGGGTTTTGGTCGGGCACATATTTGAAACCTACCTCGATCACCGTCGAAAACGGTCGAAACATACCTCGAGCACGGTTGAACACGGTTGAAACATGCTCTGAGCACGATCGACACATACTCCCAGCACGGTCCAACACGGTTGAAACATAACTCGAGCACGGACAAAAGATACCAATTGTCCCGCGTTAATTCGGAGTCGAGAGATAATTTTCTTTCAAACATCAACATATAGCTCAAAAATAGTTCATCTACAAGGCATTTAAATTGAAAGAAAACATTTCCTTTGTTATAAAAAAGCATCATAGGTTTAAATTAAAAAGCATCACCCGGAAAAGTTTAAATTATAATTTTAAAATTTGGATACCTCGTGTTGTTTGAAAGTCGAAACATACCCAAACTCGGAAAGTCGAAACTCAAAACATGTGTTTGAGCACTTTTTTAGGTCGAGCACGGTCTAAACACATCTTCTTTGGTCGAGCACGGTTGATCTATTTGTTTCGGTCGAGTAAGGTGCGCACTCAATCTCCGTAAATTGGTAAAAACTGAAGGTTTAACTGATTGAAGTAATGAGAGCATTTATCAGTTATTAAACTCTCCGAAAACCCATAAATGATGTTTCATTTGATTATAACATTAGCAAAAACACCAATAATCAGCCACGAATACGGTGCAAAATGGCGCAACCTAGCCAAAAGAGCTGGTAATTACGTCCTTGAAACATATTGTTTTTTCTAAGGTAAACCCTAATCAAAGCTGAACCGAATTAGAACCAAAAACAGTAAAAAGTGGTCAAATAGGATGAGAACCCCTTCTTTAGTATGTGAATACATGGGCCGGTGGGGTACTCAAACCTACTCTGGAATGATCTACTTTGTTTTGCCTCATTTAGAATAGTCCGCTTGGCCATCTTGCCTCATTTTATATGCATTTATGCTCTAGTTGCATTTGCGTTGCAACATCCTCCGCACCTGAAAAAGAGCGGAAAGTGCGCAACCGTCCTGTTCATAAATTAGCTTGACGATTCGGGCGATAGAGTAACACCATGCGGACTATCAGTTTCAATCACCCATACGACTGAGACTTGACACGCCTATTCAGTGAGGGAACGTATTTGCGAAGCCAACGAGACCATATAGAGTTAGCGTACGACTGCGCTCGAACCTACCTTTTCTTGTGGTCGAAGTGTTCCCCAGGTAAAAGCGAAGAAAAGCTTGTGCCATGTGGCCAATTAAAAAATGGTTTGCGGTTGACGATTTTTACTCACGTGAAGCGGTACTAACGGGAGTGATTGGCCTTGAATTCAATTCCAGCTCAACTAACCAGAGTGTTGTGTCTAACATCTCTTCAGTAACTCGGCAACCGCCTTCTTTCTTCGGACGAGGCGCTCCCAGGAGCCGCCATGATGATGTGAATCTGGCGTGTTAAATTTACCAGAACACCTTTGCGTGCAACAATGGTCGTAGCCATGACGTTCCAGTTCTTGATGCAGGCAAGTAACTCTTTTTCCGCACCAACGAAGTTCGTGCCGTTATGCGACCAGATCGTGTTTTGTGTACCACGACGCGCAATTAACCGTTCAATGCACACGACACAAGAACTAGTGCTCAGAGATGGTAAATTCTCAAGGTGTACAGCCCTGGTGGTTATGTGAATCAAAAAAAGTCCCCATGTTTTTTCAGTGTTTCTGCGAACCGGAACGTAAAGTTGTCCAAAGTAATCCACACCCGTATGATTAAAGAGTGGTTGCTTGTATCCGAGACGTTCGACAGATAAATCGGACATAATTGGCTGGATGGTACTTGCTTTGCGTTTATGGCATGTTACACATTGACTTTCGATAGACCGAAGTAGTCGACGCAACCCAAGTATTGCATTTTTCATTTTTCAAACGGAGCGCATGTAATCTAAACCTTGCTGAAAATATTTATGGTGGAGGTTGCAGTCCAACAAGCGAATTAGGGTATGAGGGGCGTCGAGTAATATTGGGTGCTTAGTATCAAACCCATAATTCTTGAGCAAACAATCCGGCCGGTGGAACGAATGATACCAGCGGAATTGATAATAGGAGAGTGTATGGCAATCCTACTATTGTTCCTAATCGGTTTAGCAGCGGCGAGTGTTTTCAGCTCAACGGGTAAGGGTTCCATGTGAGCAAAATGAGTAGTTTGTTTTCTGCGACATCAAGGTCAATGGGGTCGGTGATCCGTAAGTCCCTACCGCGAAAACTCTCATGTGAAGGCAGCATCCTCAACATAAACGCGACGCTTATTTTATACCTCGTAAAGGAACTAAACCTTTCCCAATTGAATCCGTGTTGAGAATCTTTGATGGATGTAACTTCGGGGACAACGAAGAAAATGATGTCTCCAAGCAATTATCGACATCACAAGAAGGAAACTTCAAACAAAATTTGATGATCACAAGTTCATTGGCTAAAAACGGCCAATCAGTAATCCTGAGAAAGTTCGGACCAATAACACAGCTGCTATCTTTGAGTGCTTCTGAAGACATCCACCGTGTACCGGTATCAGCTGGATTATCGCCGCTCATAACATAGAACCACTCATCAATAGTGGTCGATTTGAGGATTTCGCCGACACGGTTGGCGACGAAAACAGGTAATTTGTCATTGGAATTTAGGCAGTGTAAAACCGTAGTACCGTCTACCCACATGTAGACATGATTCATCTCAACGGTAAGTGGTTTCAGTATATCATCTTTAAGTTGTGTGGCGAGCAGAGAAGCTTGAAGCTCTAGCTTATGTATAGATAGCGCTTTCATCATCGCGACGCGAGTTTTACCAAAGATAAAGAATATTTGAGTTTTGTACAAACTCCAGAATCGCGGACGCAAAAATCAACCGCACAGAAGACGTCGTGCGAGGTATCATCGAACATGCAAAGCTCAATTTGGTCGACAGATTCTAAGAAATAACAACGGGGAATAGGCAGTTGCCCTAACAGTGGGAGAATGGAGTTCAATTCGAGAAATTTATTTTTGATGTCTTCCGGTGTTTCGTCATCCCATTTTCGGGCACTGGTTTTCCAATCATTGAGCCATTGCGTTATCGAGAGGCCAATCCACACCTCTGCTAACAACTAACTTGTCTAAAACATGGTCCCACTTCGACAACGTTGCATATTTTTTTGACGGACGAAAATACTGTTTCGTAAACTTCGGGGTTCATCGCTATATTAACGACCGAAGCTTTTACAACTGGAGCGTCCTCAGGGTGTGTGGACATATGATCAATTGCTGTTTTTCGCAACTCGAAATTAGCTCATGTAGGCGAATCCCCTGCACCGAATATAAGGCGAGTGTTCCAGTGAACTACCGCATCGGGAGTGGTATGTATCCTCTTACGGAATCACAAAAATGCAAAAACTAAATTTTGGAGCAGATCGGGACCCACCAATAAGGACTTGTTGAAGAAAGTGCCGTGCAACCTCGGGGCTCATTGTTATATTCATTTCATCAGCCTTAATGACAACATTAATCCAAATGAGTCCCATCTTAAGCTTCGGCGCACCTTGCCCGGCTTGTTGGGGTTTACCACGGGATGGTGCGGAAGATACCATTGGCGATTGGTAGGCTTAAAAGGATCATGCGTTTCGACAGTAACAACCTAGCTTTTTCGTATATCCTCTCTAATTGTGTCTGCATATCTTTCGCGCAGTTCAGGGTCTTCACTCAACCTTCACTCTAATGTTTTAAACTTTTTTGTTAGGCTGACATTACTATCAATCCAAAGCATAGACCCAATGTATCTTTCGCCATTGTGAACGGTTTCGCCA